ACTACAGCATAAAAGTGATCCTTGCGAAGAACTGAAAGAGCTTCCCGAAGGTGCTGGACATGATCATCATTGTTAGCACTATAAATAAGAATATCATCAAAGTAGACGATAAAAAATTTACCGATGAATGGACGAGATTCAAAATTTGTGAGTCATTTTTGGAGTACTCTGTGGAAAATCCTTGGCACTCGATTGCAATTTAGCTCATCCTGTCATCCTCAAACAGATGGAAATTTGGAAATTTACTGAGAAGTCTTGTTGGAAAAAAATATTAAGCAGTAGGATTTGCTTTTGGAACAAATTGAATTTGCTTACAATCGATCTGCTAGTCAAACTACTAGGCATAGTCCATTTGAAGTTGTTAATGAGAAAAATCCTATTAGTCCATTAGATTTGGTACGACTTTCAATCAATAATCGTTTTAGCGGAGACGCTAAAGCAAGGGCTAAGCAGATCAAAGAATTACATGAGTATGTTCGGGAGAGAATTCTCAACCAAAATAAGAAATACAAAAGGCAAGCCCATAAGCATAGGAAACCAATTTAGTATGGATTCATTTGAGGAAGGAAAGCCGAAACATGATTCCCATTCAAGGTTCTTGAATGCATTGTTAAAAATGCTTACGAAATAGAACTTCATGGTGACTACGGAGTTTCTGTCACATTTAGTGTCACTGATCTTTCTCCTTACCATAACAAAGAAGCAAGTCTTGAGGACAAGCCTTTTTCCAACTCGGAGGCAATGATACTAAAATTTGAACCAGTCTATGAAGTGTTGGAAGAGAATCATCCATAAAATATATGTCTTTGGAAAGCTCTCTCCGTCTAGTTTCTGACGCATCAAACCTTGCAACTTTTTGTGACTTGTAGAGAAAGTTATGAAAATTTGAATTGAGGGTGCTCAGAATAGGCAGGAGCTACAAAATTTTCGAAGTCTAACTCCATTAATTTTTTTTTGGTTTTTTCAATACAATCAGCTTATGTTTTCAAGTATTTGAAAATGATAATTTTTTATTTTTATTCAAGGATTTTAATTTCTACATTTACCTATACCTGAGGGTTATTCCAAGATTTCCTAATTAAAGTAGCTATTACTAATGAAAAAAGGGGGATTGAAATTTATGACTTATATTGAGTGTTTGGCTTGTAAAGAAAAGCTTCTTCTTAAAACTCTTCTCCTTCGATGGGTTATGATAGGTGGCGAGTTTCTTACTCTGTATCTCTTATGAGTGTCGGGTGGTGAGTTTTCTGTATCCTTGGGTGTTCTTGCTAGAGTGGTGAGCATTGTTTTTTTCTCCAATTCAATTTGTTTTTCCTTTGGGTGGTGTTAATCTGTATCCCATGGTCATAACTTGAGGTTGTGGACTATTTTCCTTTCATCAATTTTCTCGTCAAAGAAATTCGGTATCAAATTAATTAACAAATAAGTTCATGTAGGTCCGATGAAGTAAATTATTGAATAATGCTAGAGGTATATAATGGTGCACATAATGGTGATGTGTCAATCATCCAATTGTTGATGTGTAAGTGTGAAATTTGAATTAAATGTTGAATTATATGCCACTTGTAATTATGTCAACTCTTATGTAGATGCTTATGTACATGTAGCATTACTCTAAATTATTCACTAACTAATTGATATGACATGTCTTTGGTGTTTAGTATTATAAGCTAATAGGAGATCATTTTATGTACATTGTTGGTGTCAAAAGTCATTATCACCTCAAACTGCACAATGCAATACCAAGTCGAACCAAAGAGCTCAGCTAAGGAGGTCTGCCAATTATCGTCGTCAGTTGAAGACATCATAATTACCAACCTGAAAAAGTCTCCCAATGATGTCACCGCCACCTTAGCAACCACTTCTGAAAAGAAAAGTGACACCTCTAACTTGAGCACCTCTTTATCCAACAATAATAGGGAAACAAGCATGACCTAGGCTACAACTATGACATTGGTAGGATGGTGCAACCAATCAGAACTCTTCATTTAGAGTGGTAGCACACATCAAGGTCAACACTGTAGCGATGTGACTAGGGTCGGTTGACACTTGACGGAAAGCCTATAAATAAGGGCAATGATCCCCACCCAAAGGCTCAAGAAACTCTTTGTAATACACTCCAAAAGTATCTCAATGAGAATTGCTCATTTTCATTTATAATTCCAGCAATTACCCTACTATATTCATTTTAAATTGATCTAAATTTATGACGTCGTTTTTAGTCATTAACATATCTTAATGTCTATAAATGTCTTTTTTTTTTTAACTTCAGTCAGAGTAATCAATTTCATTCATTCAAGTCACTACGAACAACATTAGAGATGAAAAACACATATAATCATGCCAAGATTTAGTACCAAAACTAGCAAATCAAAAGAAGCTAAAACATGGGCTACTTCATACTCTTTCACGCGATGAAGCGACAAGAATCGCCATTAACTTCATGCAACAAAGAGATAATATTTAAAAACATATTTATTATCGTTTGCTTTTTATATTTAAAATTAAG